GGCATTTTCCGAGGTGCTACTAAATGTTCATTGCTTGTATTTCTTTATTATTCTATCCACTAAGAGCAGCCCTTACTTGGCATAAGTGGTCTGGTGTTCTTCCTCTTTTGTACCTTCAAAGCCCTAGAATGCAAACATGCTTGCTAAGGAGGGCCTTATTGATTGATGGCTGTGATGCTTACAGGAAAAATAAGGAAAGCCAAGAATACTGTGATGCAAACAAATAGGATTGTCAGCTATTATAGACTAAAAGAGGAGATGAGTTATGCCTCTAAATATGTTATTAAAATGGCCATTAGATATTTCCTCTCTGGTGTTCCCAATCACATCAACTCAGCTTGTCTAAAATCAAACCCATAAAGTTGTCTACAAAATAAGATTTTTCTTCTAGATGTGCTTTCACAGTGGATGGTTCCAACATTCACCCAATTTCCTAAGCTTAACACCTGACTGAAGCACCTCCTTCTCTGCCATTACTCCCACCTATTGTCAACCCTGAAGCTGTCCTCTTGGGACCTTCTTTAGCTCTCATAATTTTCTCCTCTCTAAACCATCTTATCACTGCCTTCCCAGCTGAAGTCATTATCATCTCTCTCTCACTTCCTACCTGTTCTCCAACTCCAGATCAGCCTTCTCACCTTGTATGCCATAAATAAGTCACAGTATGGTAAGTCCCTCAGCTCTCAAGGTGGTCATGAAGAGCTTTCTTTATTCATCCCAGCATGTACATGCGTCTTGAAATGAGAAATGTTGAGAAGCACTGGATGACTGAACAAGCCAAAGGAGGAGAAATCTAAGTCTACGTTCTCACCTGTTCAAGCAGATGGTATATTGGCTACTAAGGACATCTCTAATTCCCCTCTAATTGTGCTCTTTCATTGTAGGGGACTAAACAAGGGAAGAAATCACAATCTAGAGACATTTTACAAGGAGGATTAACCTGGAGAGGAGAATGTAAATGAAAACTCTAAAGTTTCGAGAATTAATGCTTGAGAGGATTGTCTAAACAAAATTAGACAAACAGGACAAAATAGCATATGGATATGCGGCTGAGCTCATGGGCTAGCTTTCATGAACTGGGTTTGAAACATGTGGTAATTAAAATTAAGGATGGACATTAACCTCTAGCAGAGTCTGAAATTTGATTCTATGACTCAAGAGAGAGAATAAAGCGGAAAAAATAAATGTTAAAAGGTATTCCTAAAGAGATACTAGCTGCCAAGCTCTGTAAGAGAGAGAAGGGACTGTGAGAACAGAACAACACTGGGAAAACCCCAAATTTAGAAGCTGGACAGAGGAAAATGATTCAGTAAAGGAAACCAGGAGGGACAATTAGAAATATGGACAGAGGTCTGTGATAGCATAGTGTCATGGAAGCTAAATCAAGATTGGGAAAGACCAACAGTTCCATATGGTACCAATGTTCATAGTGTCCGTGTGACATGAACCCCACATAGAAACTGAAGACTTTGACAATCAAAGAGTCTTCGTGGTGTCTAAACAGCAAATAATTGGACATGGAAGCACAGGGCTTTTAATGTCTCTCTGAAAGGACCAGAAGGTCTGAGGATAGCATAGTCCCTCACTGCCCCAGAGCAGAAAGCAGATAAAGAGCCCATAGCTCAGCCCCTCGATCCACACCAGGAGCAAGAGGTTTGTTTATTCATTGTTGACTCACAGACTGTACTCACTGTTGTGGTATGGAGAATGGGGTTTATGTGAGAAATAAATTGGAAAGTAGGGGAGAAAAAGAATATCTCACAATACAAGGACAGGTTTAATCCAGCAGTCCCAGGGCAGATTAACAGCAAAAACCTTATTTCTTAATTAGTAATAGTTCTGATATGAGTTCAGCAACACAAATTCAAGAAGCCTCTGTTTTGTTTTTTAATCATCCATCAAGTTTTGCCTCAGAGTAGTTATAAGTTGGCTTCTCCTTCAAAGGATCTGGCAAAAACAGTAAAAACTTTTAACTGGAGGCCTTATTGTAGGGCTTCTCTACTTACATCTTGCCATAATTTTTCCAGAGCAATTCCACATTCTCTCCATCACCATCAAAGGAATCTCACTCTCAATGGGGTCTTTAAGGTACCTTTCTAGTCTCTCTCAAGTCTCACCACTCAGTTTGGGATGTTCAGTCAGTCTGTCTCTGTCTCTCTCTGTCTCTCTCTCTGTCTCTCTCTCTCTCTCGTCTCACAGCTGTTGATAATTTGCAAGACCATGTGGCCGCAATTCAGGTAGCTGGAGACCAGAGAGGGCTAAGGTAAGGGCTAAAAAAGCCAAATTTAGGCTAACACCATAATGATATGTGTAACCTATTGGGCTTCTATCCCAGATGTTGTTAGTTTGAATCCACAGCAACTCTGCAGGGAAAAGAAGGGCCATCTCCTACTGTAAAGATCCATGGTCTCAGAAACCTGATGGATGGTCTCTGTGAGTTAAAACCAACTCATCAGCAGTGAAACAGTATAGCTGATCATCAATATGCCATTTTAATCACTTATGATGATAGAAAAAATGTTGGTTCATGTTTTCCAAGAAGCAAATACCAAGACAGATTAGATATACTAGAAATATACTGAGGGAAATTCTTATAAACAATGGAGAAATCTCTCTTACAAAAGAGAGAAGAATCCAGAGTAGGCAGAGAGTTTCATGACACAAGATCCAAGTTTGACAACTGTGAAAAGACAAAAAAGGAAAGAAGTATTGGCAGGAAGAACTTCAGTCTTCAAAGCTCCTCTGAAAAGGGTCCATCCAGGCTAATAGGGATTCTCTTTGCAAACACTGTCTATCTAGAGGAGCCCTTCACTGAGCAGGAATACACAGGCAGTAGAGCTTTCGTGTTGTGATCTGTTGCACTGCTTACCCAAAGGTAGTGCCTCTCTGGTGATTCAAACTCTCCAGTCACCTTTTATGAGAAGGATGGGAAATCTCCTACCTTGTGATTTACAACCTCAAAACCCTGTTGGTGGATCAGCTATAAGTAGATTCCTACTCGATGGCAAAGAAAGAGTTGAGAGAACTGCCATGTTCGGTCCTTAGTTGAAGCCAGTGGAAAGATAGCTGTGGTTAAATTCTTGGGTGGCAGCTAGGGAGTACCTTTCAGCTTTTCTCCCCTCTTGAAAGATACTTGAATAGCATGACTCTATGGCATCTTACAAATTAAGTGATCTTGAGAAGGAAGCACAGATGTTCGTATATCAATACACAACACTAACCAAAGCAAGAGATAAGAATTTTCCAAATAGGCTAGCTCTGATAAAAAAGCCATATCCACTAGTATTTTCACCAAAAGGAATTACAGAAATGTGTGGACTCATTGACCAGCTAAGGTCATGCAGTTGAGAAGTATTCAGATAATGACCAGCTCCTCATTGTTCTTTCCTCAACATCTGTTCTCCCTTAAAGCCCTATAATTCTTTTTTTTCTATAATTATAGTTTATTAATTTTCATAAACATTTACAGAGATTTTGGGCTTCCACTCATTCATTGTTGCACTATTCTCTCTACCCTCCTCCCAGTTTGTTCTTGTCCAAATGCCACAGTGCTTGTCAAAGCCAGTTCTGATTAATATTCTTTGTCAGTGTGTCCTTTGCCATTCCCTATCACTCCTCCCTGAGAGAGACTTCACCCTGAGTCATAAGGAAAAGGGGATGGCGTATTCTCTTAGCTACTTCCTGCTGAAAAGGGACGCCGTGGGTTTCAGGGTGAAGATCTTCTCTCACTACTCTAAAGGGCCCCTTTGGCAGTAGGAAACACATAGACTATTATGGAGATTGATTTTGGAATTTAGATGCACTCTTATTGATTGTGCTTGGCTGTACATGTTCATATCCTTGAAGATGTATCATGGGGGTGTTGCAACCTAGAAGACACAAATTTGACTAACAAGTTATAAGTACATGAGTCCAAAAATTATGGAAAAGTAAAAGAAAAGATTCTTTCATTGTTTTACAAACCCTCCCCCAGGTCCCCTCCACCATGTAGCCCTCGCTCTAGCCTCCTGTGATGACAGAAATACCTAGTTATATCTCTCTTTTAAACGGTTCTCTCCCTCCTCTGTTTCAGTGCAGTATACATTATTGAACCCATCTTACTCAAAGCCCTATAATTCTAATTACATGAAGAGTTCATCACCATTTTTACCCAGTGTACATTGCTGCCTTCATTGTATATGTTTTTGTTGTTGTATTTGTTGTGATATTGTAAAACAATTTGTTACTTCCGGGTCTTGAAGGACATCACTTAAGAGTCTAGATAATACAGTGCTGATTTTATTTTCTTCCTATGCCTAATGAAAAGTGATCTTTTTCTTTCTATATATCTATTGAAGAGGTGTGAGGAGGAATCCACATGCCTTTGTAGTGAATTCTGATTTTAAAGAAAATATAAACCCCCCCAAAAAAAAAACTGTTGGCATCAAGTCTGTTCCAAAGTATAACAGCCCGAGGTCTGCTAGAGTAGACCCGTCCTCCATAGAGTTGCTAGTCACTGATTTTCAGGAATAAAATCACCAGGCCTTTCTTCCAAGTTGTTTCTCTGCATGGACTTGAACCTTTGACCTTTGAGCAGCTGTTTGCCCTACTCAAGTATGCCAAGTTCTGACAAGCTGTCTTGAAAATCATCAATGTGTAGTTGTGTCTCAATCTTAAAGACTTGAGGTCTAAACCTAAGTACACAAGGGTACTCAGTAAACAGTGGTGTTTAGTTGCCATTCCGTTGATTCTGAGTGATGGCAACCCACGTGTACCAAGCAGGCCTGTGCTCCTCAGGACGTTCAAGAAAGCAGATCATCAAGTCTGTCTTCTCAGCTGCATCTAGTTGCACTTAAGCCACCAACCTTCCTGCTGGTGGGCAAGAGCTTTACCATTTGCACCTCAAGAGTTTCCAGTGAATGATTATCAAATAAAACCAGAACTAACTCTTCTCTCTTTGCTTCCAGGTGACCTCATCCACTTGCCTCCATACCTTAGAATGGACTTTTTGTTAAACCGAGGAGGTCCAGGCACCAGCAGAGACCTGAGTTTAGGCCAAGCATGCTTGGAACCTCAGAAAAGTCGGACCCTGAAGCGCCCCACAGTCCTCGAGCCAATTCCCATGGAGGCCTCCTCCTCCACCTCGTCCACGCGAGAAGGACAGTCGTGGCAAGCCGGGGCTGTGGCTACATTACCTCAGCGAGAAGGAGCAGAGCTGGGACAGGCAGCTAAAATGAGCAGCTCCCAAGAATCACTGCTCGACTCTCGGGGCCATTTAAAAGGAAACAATCCCTACGCAAAATCGTACACCCTGGTATAACAAACAGCATGACTGGACCGTGGTTGTAAATACAATTTAAAAAAATTCAATCAAAGCTACCTTTTTTTTACTGAATTCCAATATTTATAATTAAAGAAAATTGCCAAAATATATTAAAAAAAAGAGGAAATACTGAAACCACAGACAGTGCAAAGACTCTCCTGCTTTTTTTCTGTCTGAGTGTGAGCTCCATCTGCCTGGGCATCTGATTTTTTGGGAAAGAAGTCCAGTTTTATGACCTTCACAGCTACTGCATTTTTACTGATTTTCTACAAAGTGCATGGGGAACGAATTAAGCCTTCTGACTGGAAGTTCTATCACACAATACTAAAGAAAGAAAACAGGAAAAAAATGACCCCTATTTGTGAATTTAAAAGGAACACTGATCTGGGGGAAGGGGGGAAAACTCTATTCATGTTTGCACACGTTTCTTTCCCATTAGAAGCTGGGTCCTCAATTGATCTTCTTTTGTCGTTAATTAGGATGAGTGCCGTCGGTGAAGGGGTGGGGGGGTTCCATTTGATTTTCTTTTTGTTCATTTTTTAATTTCATGAGACACTCTTTGCATTTTGTCTAAGCGAAATAAAAAAGAAAAGGTTGTCCGCCTTTATTTCGAATGTCTGCTTCTCTTGTCTCCTACTGATTGCTTGGCTCTCCTCAATTCTGAGCTTTGGTTTGGCCAATACCAGGACTCCACCGAGAATCCAGCTTAATGAACAGAGAAGCTTCTAACACCACGACCCCTCCAGTAGTTCTAGAGAAGGCATAGAAGATACAGCCTTGCTCTCAGGCTGGAGATAGACCAAGCAGAGGAATGAAGGCCTGGTCCAAGTTTTCTGCATCTCTTTCAAAAGGTTTTATTCCTTACCCACTTCCCTCCTTGACACCGGGCCCTCTAACTAGACTAAAGCTCAGCTAACTATGACCCTCAGACCAAACAGCCCACAGCTGTTTTTAAGAAATAAAGTTTTATTCACACACTCACAGCCTTCAAATTGGAACCAACTCATAGTTGACTCTTGAATCAGGTTTTGCAGGCTGTAAATTGCCCTGGAGGAACAATCTTTCTGCCATGGAGCAGCTAGTGGAGTTGCCAACCTTGGGTTAGCAGCTCAACCCCTTGTGGACCACACCACCAGAACACCCAAAGTGTTATTGGATAGACAGACTGTGGCTGCTTTCATGCCACAATGGCTGAGTTGAGTAGTTGCAACAGAAAGCTGTGCTTGCTGTTCGAGTTTCCTAATGCTGCTATAACAAAAATACCACAGTTGGATGGTTTTTAGGAAACAAAATTTATTGTTCAGGAATCAGAAAGTCCAAATTCAGGGTGCTAGCTATAGAGAGAAGTCTTCTTTCTGACTTGGATAGCCAGTGACCTACCGCACCCCAATTATCTTTAGATAGCATCTGTCCTTCCCCTGTTCTGCTTGCTTATCTCTGCCTGTGCTCCTCTTACATCATGCAGTAGTCATTAGCCTTAGAACACATGCTACATTGATGATAATAATCATCATCGTATTGCTGTCAAGTCAGAACCAGCTCAGCTGACCTACTAGTGTATTTTCAGAACCTGTAAATCACAGGGGAAGAGGTTGCCCATCTCTCTTCCTTGGAACAGCTGGTGCATTTCAAGTACCCGCCTTGTAGTTGGCAGCATAACTCTGTCTATAATAGAAACCCTATTTCTGAATAGAATTACATCTGAACATACAGGAGTTAGGATTCTAACACATAATTTTGGGACATATGCAATTTAATCTGTAACACCTGCAAAGCTATAGTTTTTAACATTTGGTCCAGTGCAGGGGAAGCTTGCCAGATCGTGATCTAGACGCCCCTCCTTAGACTTAGCTTCCTTGAGAAAGGAAGAGAAGAGCTGGAGACGGGTACCCTTTCCCATTGTTCCTGGTCTGCCCTATCGAGTAGGACAGAAATGCAAATTTGTAGTTGACTGCCTTACTGTATATGAAGTTCAGGTCCCTTTTCTGAACTCCAAGGAAAACAAGTCAGTAGTAGGCGATGTTCCAGTGGTAAGTGAAAGCTGGGTTTTCTATCCTTCCTCTGAGTTTAAATCATCTACCATGTGGCTCTTGGTAACAGAAAAAGTACTCAACAGAAATAAGAACTGCGTACTTTATTCTATGACCTTTACATCATGTGCTTTCAGGAGAGGGCATAATCTTACCCACTCCAGGCTCATTTCTATAGAAGAGAAGATTTACAAGACCTTCATATCATAGGCTTTGTTTTGACCAGAAGACTTTATCAAATGTCCATCGCTTTTCAGTATCTGAGATACGAGATTAAGTAAGTACCTTTTTTTCATTAGTGTTATTTATACACTCCCATTCAAGCTACCAACATTGCATTAGACAAGGAGTCAAGGATAACTCATAGTGACCCTATGAAGAAAAGATATGAACCCTGTTCTATCCTGTCCATTATCATAATTCCTGGCACACAAGAGCCCATTGCAGCAGTCACCATGCCAGTCTACCTGGTTGAGGGTCTTCCTCTCCTTTGCCGACCCTCCTCCTTTTCCAACATCATGTCTTTCTCCAAGGCATCATAACCCCTACCAAGCCAACTATTCCCATCTGAGCACAGATGTAAAAAGTTCTGTCCTATTCTCCCTCCTTTCTTTTCCTCTCTCTCCCTCTCTTCCTCATTCTTCCCTTCCATTTATTTTGAGGCCAGAACATTTTGCCTGCTTATCTTTGGTGACATAGTAAGCCCAAAAAGCCATCCAGGACCATGTCAAAGACAGTCTTCCGGCTCTCTTACTAGGGAATCTGTGAATGGGAGATATGCTTTTTTTTATGGTGTCAGAAATTAATCAAGGTTAAAAATTTATTTTAATCCTCACAGACAGCTTTTATTATGCAAAAGAAATTAAGTACTAGTTTGTGGGAGAGAAATAATTAACTTCTATCTTTCATCAATCTAAAACTTCGGTATTGCCAAATTTAGTTTACTTCTCCCACCCTGATGCTCTGGAAAAAGAAAATTCTACATCATAACTACCTTTGAAATGGATGGCTTCCCTGATGCCTGCCTTGAAATTGTTCATTAAAATGAGTTCAGTGTATAAATACAATATTTCTTAAAAATCCATCCATTTCCCAAGTAGGTAAATGACCTAAAATAAGCGATGACGAAGAGGTCCATCATCAAATATTTAAAATATTTGAGGGACATTATTCTGGTGGCCTAGAGAGCTCTGGTAATATGGAATTGTGCTGCCAACCCAAAGGTACATGGTTCAAATCTACCAGTTGCTCCACAGGAAACTGGTGGGAAGGTTCCTCCCATGTAATTTACAGTCTCTAAAAACCCACAAGAAGGTCAGCTGTGAGTTGGTTCTAACTTAACGTTACTCAACAACAATATTATGGGGGCCTAGCCCATAAGGAGTTGTGCTGTTAACTCAAAGGTGGCACCTTTTTGGTGGTTTCTATCCACAAGTGTCTCCAAGGGGTAAAGATGGACAATCTGCTCCTGAGAGATACACGGCCTCTGAAAGCCTTCTAGAAAGTAAACTATGAACTGGTTCTGACTCTGTGGCAATGAATTTGAGAGAATTGAAACAATGGGTAAAGCAATTGGTCAGACCCGAGGAACAGTAGGTCAAACTCCTCATCTTCTCTGTCAGAGAAGATATGACAGAGAGTCTGCTTCAGTAAAAGTTTAAGTAAATATAATTCATAATTATTTTGAAAGATATTACAAGCTTTTTATGGCCCATCGGAAAAAATGCTTTAAAAAAAGTTTACAGTGTTGGAAATAGTACATGGTCTCTATGAGTTGGAATGAACTCCATGGAAATGTTTTTTGTTTGTTTAAAATTTGTATTTTAAAAAAACCTAATAATGAAAGTAATAATTTTCCTCTCCAATCTATGTCTTTTTCCATAGAAATGGTAGGTCATTTTGCTATCTCAAATTTCTAAGCATGTTGCTTTATGTTAAGGTGGTGAAACTCAGATTTATCTTCTAGACAATATGTGTAGAGTTAGTGAATAATGGCTACAGACTTGTGTTTAGTTGTCTGACAACCTAAACAAGGTCAAAGCAAACAAGCTCTTCTCTTCTCTTAATGCATAACAGGTGAGTCATGCCATCTACAAAAACCCAGTGCTTCATTTTCATTCACATTTTAGCCTGGCTATTTCATATCCACACAGAGAAGTTGAGGTGGAAATTAATGGAGCACTGAGACAATGTAAAGCTGATCACAGGCTATACTGTGTAAGATCTGTTGTTAGTTGTCATCAAACCAGCTGTAATTTTAAGCAGTCTTATGGATAAAAGAATGAAACATTACTAGGTCCTGAGCCATTCACAAAATTCTTAATATATTTAAATCCATTGTTTCGGTAGCTGTGTCAATCCTTCTCACCTAGAACCTCTTTTGCGTTAGCTAAACTACAACTTTAACAATGATGATGCCCTATATCCCGTCAAATTAGTGCTACTGTACAATCTCCTCCAACTTCACAAGAAGGAGAGGAGAATCCAAATCAATAAATCAAAGCTTGTTCTTAAGAGATGGAGGTCATACAGGCCTTTACCCTCCCCCCTTCTTACCAATTCTGACACCAAGCTGTCCCTTCCACAATGCTCTCTATTTCTCTGTGCAGCTCCAAAATTCATTGCAATGGCTACACAGAACTCACAGATCTTAAAATAATAAAATTTATTAGGGAAGTACTAGGATTAGGAAGGTCTTTTTGGGAAGTATTAGGATCAGGAAGGACTCACTATACAGTTCTTCAATCAGTTTATCCTTGCTTCCTAAACCTCTTGGTTCTCATATCTCATAATACTTGCCTTTTGGGCAAATGTTAAAAAGCTGTGCCAATAACTACTGGGAGGTATCACATTCTTCCAAGTACTAGAAGCCTAGAGTCACTCAGGACTTAAATTCCCTGAGTCAGCAAGTCTAACATTACCAAGTGAGTGGAGGCACCCCACTTTGCAAATATTCATGTCTGAAAATGCTCAACTTTCTTGCTCTTTGCTATGGGAAGCCCACTGTACTGACTCTTATTCTGCTGCCCATAATGCAACTGTGTCTATGCCACTATTTTCACTATCTTTTGCCGTTGTCCATGTTACTGC